TCAGCCTTTAAAATCAACTGTTTAAAAAAATAAATAAATAAAATAAAGACAATTAATAAAGCATCTATAGCTGTCGAGTGTAGGGAAGTCGTGCTTGACCCTTATAATAATAATAATAATAATAATAATACCCTCTACTACCTGGTTCCCCCGCCTCCATGTAAACAGGCCCTTAGTGTGTTTGAAGCGTTACAAGCTACCCAGTTGTGTCAATTGTCTTAACAATTGTGGCAGTAAATGGCGGACCTGCGTTTAAGTAAGGTCTAACCCCATAAAAGGGTATCCAGAATCCGGGAAATTTTTTCCTGTGGAATCCGGAATCCGATAAATTTTTCTTGTGGAGTCCAGAATCATGGCCTTTGGAATCCGGAATACAGCTCAAGGAATCCCGAGTCCCACTAAAGACTGGAATCCAGAATTCAAGTTACACTAACAAATACTCCAGAATCCAGTACCTGGAATCCGGAATCTACGGTATAGAATCCTGAATCTAAAACTGTCTTAGATTCCCCTTACATGAGGCGAAAGGATAGGGAGTCTACAGAAGGGGATCCAGAAAACTCGGAAAGTGGGGATCGGGACACTTGTCAGCTGTTCAGATACTACATATTATTCCAAAATATATAAAATATCAGCAAGTCCACGGTAACAAACCAATGAGAAGTGCCGAATTTCCCCACTTGTAGACCTGGATCAGTACAATTAAACTTGTAGAAAAATATGAAACGGCAAACTGATCCTTTCGGCAAGGCGATGAAGAAGTAAACCAAAGGGTCAAATAAAGAAATAAAACAAAAAATATATATTTTCTTTAAATATATATTTTTTGTTTTATTCTTTTGTTTACTTCTTCATCGCCTTGCCGTAAGGATCAGTTTGCTGTTCCATATTTTTCTACATATTATATATATTATTCTATCGAAATTCTTGAACAGTTACACACAGTTTTACAGAAAATGAGGCGGCCGTGGTCCTCTCGGACCACCCCTAAATCTCCATGAACTGATAAGGTGTGCTTGCCATTGATTACTTAAACGACTTGTTTTATTTGATAATATTTGCTGTTTTTGTTTTTCCTTTTTCGGCAGCTACAAGAAGACAACAGTTTCCTGCCTTTGCACACTCACGTAAAAAACGCACCCGTAAAGAACGTTCTCCAGCCACGAGTAAGTCCTGCCAGTTTTGGTCCCTTCTACTACTATCTTATTCTCACTTAATTTCGCAGGTATTTTTCAAATTAATTTCGCGAAAAATCATGAGCCATATTTCGCGATTTCGGGAAAGGAAGAATTGGAGTGCATTAAATTTCGCGATTTTTTTATTGACCTCCGAACAGTGTCATTAAAAAACAACAGAATTTGCCTTCCTGTCAGATCGTTCGCAACGAATCAAATTAGCTGGAGGTTACTTCTCTAAGTGGGGCCCAGTACCGTCCGGGGTACCACAGGGTACCAAATTGAGGCCGTGGTTATTTATCCTAATGATAAATGATCTTACTTTTCATTCGCCATTGTTATGAACATTTGTTGATGATACACGGCCTCAGAGATCGTTCATAAGGGAGATGTTTGTAATGCTCAGCGTATCACAGATCAAGTTATACTTTGGTCGCCGGAAAATAGAATGCACTTTAATCCGGCCGGGCAAATGTAAAGAGCTCAGGATTTCGTTTGCACGTAACCTCGAGGAGTTTCATGTAGGTTTCGTTCAGGGAAAAGAGCCAGAAGTTGTCAGTAGTAGGAAGCTACTTGGGCTCACTACAAGTGACAACTTAAAATGGAACGTAGATGATCTTATTAAGATCTTATACTTTTTACTACAACTAAAACGGGCACGATTACCGCCAGTGGATTTAGCTCTATTTTTATACAACGTGTGTACGATCTTCAATTGACAAGTGCAGTATTAGTATTCTGTAATACCCTGCCGCAGTATCTTATTAATGAACTCGTGCATATCGAAAAGAGGGGCGCTATCGATAATTATGCCCGGCTTGAGCTACGGCGATACTTGCTAATTTTTGGACATAACACCTGTAGTATACCAGAATCGCCAAGTGTGCCGCACATTTTTCAACACTATAACTTTCGACAAAATCATAATCAGTCTTCAACTTTTTGCCACCTCGCAACAATCCTAGGTATAGTCTGAGAAACAATCGCGCCTAGAACATTCCACGTGTTTTGTACTAATAGCGCGAAAACGTTTTTATGCTTGCAGTGGCAAGACAGATGCCACCTTTAAATTAAGAATCTAGACCGTTTCTTGAACACATTGTAAATATTTTGATATACATAATTTTTAAATTCTGTTACATTTTAATTATACATTAGATTTACAATATTTTATATTATATTTTTGATGCCGTTTTTTTTCGAGAAATTTGTAATAGTGTTGTAAATAATTGCATAATTCAGCCTTTGCGATGCGAAGCGATTTTCAATAAACTATCTATCTATCTTCCAATTAATAAAGACAATTACAAACAAAACAAGCTAAACATAACAAAGCTTCAGGTTTTCAACAGTCTAAATAGGTACCAGCAAACAATTACAATTTTGAATTGAGAATGAAAAAATAGAGGTGCGCTAATAAGTTTCGTGCACCCATGGCTGTGCGCATGCGTAAGGTATTGATCTTACCGTGGACTTGGTAGTGTGCGTTTTCTTACTAACTTTGGTCGTATTTGTTGATGTCTTTTACTCTAGAGTGCCCTACATCGTCTCCTTCACAAAATGTGAACTGGTACCCATCAGAAGTTAATGTGAGCTTCGGAAAATATGAAAACACCAACCAGTGGTTTTCAAATTTATCATGGACCCTGATGAACGGTAACATTCTCAGTGTTAATAAATGAATCGTTTAGATTATCCAGCCAATTTGACAGGGACCAAAGATGGCCTGTTTAATTTAAGAAACGCGAGTTTCTTAACGTAGCCAAGATAAAAAAAAAAAAATAATAATAATAATAATAATAACAGTAAAGCAAAAAGCGGCAAGGAAAGTTATTCCGTATCGGATGGGAAGATGAGAGCCTAAACATAACCAGCTGCTTTTCATGGTTAAAAGGTTGGGCTTCATGCCCTACATATACCATCGCGGGCATGTATGAACTGTATGAGCAGTTGTTACCTACGAAGCTCTACACAAAGGAGAAGACACAAACCTCCACCGACGGCGAAGTCCTATGCAGGTTATGTGGGAAGGTAGCTGAAAGCGTTGCACATGTATTGGCTGGATGTTCCTCTCTGGCACAAGCCAAGTACCTATACAGGCATAATGCAGCTTTGAAGATTCTTTTTTTTGAGCTCCTGCGAGAGGATGGGTTAATAGAAGAGGTTCCACCATGGTACTCACCGGTGATGCCAAAACCAGCCAACCAGAACACCACAAGTGAGGCGTTTTGGGATATTCCCATCTATGCAGAGCACAACGAAGTTAGAGCAAATCGGATCGACGCGCGACTTGTCAGCCACAAGAGAAAAGAAGTCTGCACAATTGAAATGAGCTGCCCATGGATCGAGAGTAGAGCTAAGAAAGATGAGGAAAAGACACTCAAGTATGGGCCCATGATGTGGGAGCTGAAGCAGAGGTACATTGGTTACAGGGTTGAACAGTACAACGTAATAATTGACGTATTAGGTGGTTACTTTAAACACCTAGAGAAGTCGGTGAGGAAGCTACTTGGAGCGAGAGCACGAGGCGTACTTGAGCGGATGCAGAAGTCGGTCATCTCAAACACTTTGAACATTGCCAGAACATTTAAGATAAATACTTAGCTAGGGCGCTAGGGACTCCAGTGTTTAGGTTTTCTTTTTTTTTTCCTCTAGAAATCCAGAAACACAAGTTTGCTGATGTTTTTACTAAGATTTTTTTAGAGTATTAGAGTTTCATAGTATTCTAAATAGGCTCTTACTAGAGATAACCATATTATGATGGCCTTGCTTAGGTATATAAGAGATAATGAGAGTATAAAAACTGAATAATTTTCTAAACAGGCTTTTAGAGATAATTATATCATCATGTCTTTGCGTAGGTTTTACAGAGTATAAGAATTTAATAATATTTTGAATTGGCTTTTTAAGTAGAGAGATTCTTATCATTATGTATATTAGGATTGTATTAGGTTTCGCACCGACCTTTTTTTTACTTCTAAGTATAGCTTCTTAAGTGGTGTAGGTTACGTTATGCGCCCTATACTACTCATAATGTGGACAGCATTCCAAAGTTTTATACTGCGAGATAATAATAATAATAATAATAATAATAATAATAATAATAATAATAATAATAAGTGTACAACAACTGCTTTTTCTCTTACCCTCCTTTACTTTCTTGATCGCTATTTTCCTCTTCTTTTCCTTCAAAAGGCAAAATTTTAGAGATATCGGATGCAAGAAATGTGCTCTTTAGCTTTTTGGCATTATGTCAAAAAAAAGATGACTGCAATATTATTTCGGTACGATTTGAACAATTACGCTAGGATGCATACTTTGATTGTGAAGATACACAACAATCATCTACTTTTCCGGTCCTCAAAGCTCAAAGGTACAAATTAAAATAAACCAGTCAGCAATGACTACAAAACACCATAAATTTAAGTTGATCCTACAGGGCCTCTGACTGAAAGGTCTTTGACACCTCTGAAAATAAAGTTTGGGTGCTTGGACCTATGTGATCACCTTATAGGCAGAAACAGTATAAGCAGTATAAAGGACTATAAAATACCCTTTCAGTCAAAGGACAGCCAAATCAGTTTTTCAGAGAGCGAATGGTGCGCGAGCCTGACATACCCTTCCCTGTTTCGTTCTCTGCTTTCACCATCCTTCCAGAAGCCGTTTTTAGCTCTCACCCGGACGCGTAACTCTAACATATGAATGATCGCGGACTTGTGAAAGTTAACGTTGCATGAAAGATATCGAGTTTTACAATAGTGGGTACCCACCGATCAATAACAATCCGCAATTATGCACTGAATTTAAAATTTTTTGAAATTGTTTCTTTCAGATACGCACGGAAATTGGACCGCTGTACTTGTTCGCTTTGCGGTCTCCCACAAAAGTGCTATTGCGCCTGACCTCAAGTGTTTTCTTTACCCAAAGGTATGAACAGAATGTGCTGCTTTTTGCATTGCATCATTCCCTTCCTCCTAGTTTAAAGATATTATTACCTGAAGCATTGTTAGTATAGGAGGCTGGCTGTGAAAGCCGGCCTTGGAAGGGCCAAAACAACGGCTGCAGCTTATGTTGGGAACTCTCTGACCGTGCACAATTTTTATCTTTCATTCACACACCGTGACTGGAAACCTCTTTATTGGTTGGTCCGACAAGCTCACGTGCTGCTGAATTTATTGTACGGTCAAGGTCAACAACAAGGTTGCCCCCCCAAAATTAGAAAGGACTTTCTCCGTCTTCATAACAATTACACTTCATCAACAATGCCTGAAAGAAGCGATCGACTTCAAATATTTAAATATTTGGGTGTGTTATCTTCCTATAAAATAACCAGCAAGCTTACTTCAATGAAATGAAGTTGCAGGACCTTTTGTTGTGACATGGGATGACATAGAATCGTTTTCGTCCCATTCACACGCCCCAAGCTTTTTTTAAAAAACATAATATATTAAGTTAAAGCTCTAGACTTATATTAGACTTTTTAGACTAAAATTTCCGACAGATCGAAGTTTCTTAAAACGTCACAAGATAATTAACCAGCGAAATTAAGATAAGTGCATGAATAAAATATTTATTTCTTTTTTTTTTTGACCTAATTCCTTTTAGAACCAGACCGACCTCACACTGAATATTTCTTCGTATGGCTTCAGATATCCAGACTATTTATTCCTATTACAGGTGAGCATCTAGAGCTGCCACAAGCAGGTCGACTTCAGGACTTTCTAAGCAAGCGAAGCGAGCTTTCCGTTGGCATCGAAGCGAGCGACGAAATCGTAAGAGGTCTGTTGCCATATTAAATGGGACGAAGGACTTTATTGAAAGTCTAGTGAGCATCGAGACTCACATTAATCAGCTTCTTTGACCTGAGTAACTGATTGGTAAATTGGTAAAGTTTGCTCAGCAGCTATATATCGTAACCAAATCTTGAATATGAGCTCGAAAGTGACGGCCAAATCATTTTATTTTCTGAAGAAACATTTATCATATGATAATGGCAACAAGAATATATTAATTAATTTCAAACTTTTGAGACTTGGAAGAAGTGGTATAGCTTACTCGCGATCATCCACACTTTAGGGCATGTGAGGGAGATCGAAGCAAATCGAACTGAACGGTTGTTTCTCTAAATAATTTTCTTTTCCTTGTTACGTTCACTTATTTTTTTAAGTGTTTGTGCCTTTGTTCTGTGTACCTAAATGTGCATTAGTTTTCAATTCTTTTGTTTAATATGTTTCTTTCGTCACACTTGTACTGCTAATGTAATAGAGCACCGTTAGTTTTTGCCAATTTCTGTAACTTATATAAATAAAGAAGGCTAAAGAGGCTAAATAGAATTTCTTCGTCAGCGTAGAAAGTGTGGCTGTAGTGTGCTAGGTATTTTCAAAAAGAACGTCATCGGTATCATAAAGGTCAATGTGTGTGAGTTTAACTTTAATTAGTTTTACGAAATCCCTGCAAATAGAAAAAGTAAATTACACTTTATGGGACTTTCATCAATTTAAGTTAGCATTTCCTCTCCGGTTGTTACCACTGAAAGTTCAAGACCTGGATCTCTTTTCAGATTTCAGGTTTCCCTTTTACTCAGGATGCATTGTCAGTTATGGAGACATACGAACCAAACTTGTCGACAACAAGTAAGTGTATCTTGTATTAAAGTGGGAAGGGGTTTATAGTTATTAGCAATACTGCAACTACAATTGCTCTTTGTAAAGAAGCAAATGATCGTACTATTTCGAATTCGTAATTATTATTGTTTATGAATTTGTTTTTCTCACATGCTTGCGATAAAAAAAGTCCTAGGACCTTGGGATTTCACATCAAATATCACAATGCACTCAACACTCACAAATGCGTCATCCTCGAAAAAATCAAGTATCACTGTAAGGAGAAAGCTATGCGGCTTTTTCAGGAACGTGGTAGACTTCTAGAAAAAGAAATTATTGTTCTTGAACCCTCTGACGCACGTACCAAGTCTTTTCATTCAGATGTTCAGTTTTTCCTCAGAGACATTTTGGCAAACTTTATTGACAGTCGATTTCTATAGTTACAAAATATGACATCCTTAATTTCAGGAACTGTGGGTCTATAGCAGTATTTTTCTAATGAACAAATAACCGTACGACCACTGATGTCAAATATCTACTGTCCTGACTGAGCACTGTCTTTCAAACCGAGTTATCTACTCAGCATACTGGCCTCCCACTAAATAAACTAATCCAGTAGTGGCACCACTTTACACAAGAGGAAAATAAATAGAAAATGTTGACTGATATTAAGACATTCTGGGCAGTTTTCACTGGTCTCTCATAACTGTTTGCGATCCAAAATGTAAGTAGCTCTTGGTGTGAAAATGGGTGAAAAGTGCACTCGTTTCACTTAAAAGTGGAGAAGGAAACAAGTCGGTGTTGGGTTAAACACCTATTTTTTTTACTAAGTTACAAATATACAAAAAAACCTAGTACGTAATGTAAACTCTAATTTCATGGATTGTCCAAGCCTTTAGATTAATGGTTAAATATTGAGTAACAAATGAATTCAATCAGTAGGTTTGAGAATTCTATGATGTTCTTGTTACAATGTATTTTGATAAATATCAATGTTTTTACTATAATTGTGTTTTCATTTTTATTACTTTATCTTCATTTTATTTGTAGCGACACATCCTCCAAAGAAAGAAAAAACTGGTAAGTTTAAAGTAGGTTTGATAAGAGTAACGTTAAAGATGTTACAACTCCAAGAATATATTGCTTAGTAACTTGATCAATCCGCTACGCTTTTGTTCTTTGTGTGTTCATGCCAACGCTCAACTCCCATGCGCAAACGTTAAACAGGTGTCACAAGAGTCGAAAGAACATTCGAATCATTACGACTCAAATAATGACGATCATCGTCTTCGTTTCTATCTCTGTCGTCATCATCATCATCATCATCATCATCATCAGGGCACGCACCATAACGTCCTCCTCACTGTTGAAAATTGCACTCAGGATCTGCCATTTGGTCATTTATTTATCTATTTATTTTTTGAAAAAACTTTGACGAAATAATAATGTTAAAGTACGGGTAAGATAATAATCCAATACGTGATACGAGGAGGTGCAGTATTCATGGCTTCAACACCCTTTTCCATTTTTTTGAACTCAGTCTTTTATATTTCAATTAATTCAATGATTAGTTTGAAATGTCCTTAAACCTATTCGTTTTAACGAAGAAAGGAACAGGTATGTAATTTCAAACTCTCTTATCATGCAACTTCTTTCTCAGCTACTGTAGTCGACTTTCGTTACAAACGGAGCACTACAAAGAAAAGTAACGGTATGAGTAACAATAGTAAAAAAATAGAGTACCTTCATGATTTCGTGTTGGTGGCGTAGTACATTCCGGCTGCAAACAAGGAGAACAATTATATTATAGTTTTCCATTGTTTTCCTCCCGTAAGCGACAAATTAAGGCAAGGCCTGCCAGTGATTTCGACTCCTTGTTTGCAGCCGGAATGTACTACGCCACTCGGAGTGTATAAATAGCTTTCCGTGCAAAACTTGAAACCAAACATATAATAATTTACAAATTACATGACGAAATAAATTACTTTCCAGAAAGGAAACTAATGTGTCAGGACCTCATCTGACCCCCGAGTTCTAACTGTAAAATAAAGTTTTCAATTTCATTAATATTTCATAAAGAAAATACAAAGGAAATTAACGCGCAATCCATCAGGAAATTGAATAAGTTTAATTTTCAGTGGACAAAAACCTTGTACCAGGATAATTTAAATAATATCGCATTCTTTTTTACATTTTTCAAGGGCTATTTATAAATGTAATTAGTTACAGTGGAATCCCGATCTCGAACCTCTAGGGGAAACGCAAATTGGTTCGAGAAATCGGGATTCTACTGCAACTGTATCTGTAATAACACCAAAGAAAATTTCTCATGAGAGCCCGCCAAAATAAATGTCCAATTTCACAAAATGACACCTTACACATGAAATTATCGGAATTTTACCTGACGCAGGTGTTTCACAATTCTTGTGAAATTTGACATTCTTTTTCTCGGGCTCCCATGAGAAATAGTCTTTGGTACGTGTTATTACAGCTAGCTAATTATATCTATAGCCCTTGAAAAATGTAAAAAAGAATGCGATATTTTTGTTAATTATTCTAGTACAAGGTTTTTGTCCACTGAAAAATAAAATTACTCAATTTTCTGATGGATTCCATCTTGATGTTTGATGAGTGTGTGGAAATCAGAGGAAAAACTGCTCATTTTTGCATTCTTAATTTCTCCTTCTAAAATCATTTTGTTTATGGAGTAATATCAAGCATTCGAAACTCTGCCCATCACCAGATGAAACACCTGGAAGTTCGTCAAAAATACTCCGCGTGCGTCACATGCTTGATATATTACTTTTAAAACAAACAAAACAACAACAAAGGGAAAACTATGGAAAACTATTAATATACTTACCATCAGGACAAAAATTGCAGTCGCAGGCTATAACTGCGCGAATCCTCGTTCACTAACAGTTAGTCTCCCGTTTCCCTCAAATATACATAATACAGTGGTAGATCTCTGTTATCGGTCACAAAGAAAGGAATACCATTTTTTCTCGATAACCGAGGAACGTATGCAGCCTCGATCCTCTCCCCCCTCATACATATTTTTATGGTTCCAGCTTACTAATTCAAAGTTTTCATTTCTAGATTCATATTTCTCCATATCCATATCTGTTGGCGTCCTCGTAGGACTCGGTTTGGTTGCGGTTGGTCTTTTAGTGCACTTTTTGCGCTCCAAGCCGGATAAAAGCAATAATCCGTTACCTCAAGGTTTGTATATCGTGAATTCCTTTCACGTCAAATTAAAACAAACCACTAGATTATGGGCATCCCAATCACTTCATTTCATACAAGTCACTACCCTCTTGGGTCTTCAACATCATTCTTCTCCAAGGCGTCAATTCCACTTCTCGCCGCAATGAAAATTAAAGGGAGCCCAGAGTTCTGAGCCTGTCAAAAAGGTAAAATTTTCTAGTCGCCCAAGAGCAAAAGGTAGGAGCCAGGGGCCACTTTTAAAGATTTGAACGACCCTGGAATGGTTGAGCCCATTATCTTCTCTTTTGACGCTGTTGCTATGAAAACGTCTTCAAGCTATAACTTAACAAAACGACACGTGATGTGACAGACACGTTTGTCAAAACTTTCAATGACTGTTAAGTTTCAAGGGAGGTCTGACAAAGCTTCGACATCTCCGGTTTCTAAACTTAAAGTTCAATTAATCCTGTTATGAATCACTTTTATCACATTAAAAAGAGATCTGGGTTGTTCTCTAAAATAGCTTCTCCCTTTGTTAACTTGAAAAGTTTCAAATGCTCCCCTCGACTCGATTTAAAAAGCGATTCACCTTCTGTCACTGGAGAGAGGGCTGTGATTGGCGTTCATGGTATATAGTGGATATGGGTATGATGTCATGGTCCTAAAGGAAAAGCAGTAGAAAATAAGACCCAGTTCATGATCGACGTTTGAACCAATTAAGTCCGACATGTCTAATTTGGGTCTACCCATGAATTAAGTTCGAGTGGCCCTAATGCGAATTTCACTGTGGAGCGACTTTGTTTCAAACGTCGAACTTTGCATGTGCCGAGCCTAATGCATAAATAACTCAAATTTGTTTTCTCTTGTAAGCATTTTAGACAATTGAACATCATGATAATATAGTTATTAAGTTCATGAGAAGATCGACGTTTGAACTGGGCCTAACTGGCTTTTTGGTAGATTAATATAGTTTCTTTAAATGTTTAGAGTTATAAACTATCCTCAAAATAATGGCCACGCTTTGTTTGTTTGTTCGTTTGTAACCTTTTTCTTTCGTCTCTTGCAGATTTTAGATACCACGCATTTATAATATTCAACAGTGGAGACCAACGTTGGATGAAGACCAAGCTTCTGCCTCTATTGGAAGAAAAGCACCATTTAAGTTGTTGTATACACTATAGAGACTTTGCCGTAGGGAAGCCTTTTCGTGACAGCATGGCAGAAAGTGTTTACAATAGCCACAAAGTCATAGCATTATTTTCCAGTAATTTTGTGAAAAGCAATTATTGTAAGTACGAGCTTGACCTCGCCATAGGACGGCTTTTATCGCATCGCGATTGTTGCTTGGCTGTCATCAGGATTGATAAAGTTGATAGTAATATGCTGCCTAAAGAACTCAAGGACAAAAGCTTTATAGACTACAGCAATGCCACCGAAAGGCGCATTTGGAAACGAAAACTCCTAGAATTTCTTCGTCTGCCTGGTGATGAGGAATGCCATGACACTGACGTTAATCAGAACTGTAAAATTAACAGCACAAATGACGACAACAGAGAAAGGCTAGAGAGTGCCAGCAGCATGGAATCTGATGCGCACCAAGAACATCCCAATGCTGACATGGAAGAAATCAGTGACTTGAGCAGCATAAATGTAATTCTTCCTCTGTTACCATTTGTGAGGTTGGAGAGCACTACCAGCAATGACACCGTTATATCTGTGGTGTAAACATTGTTAGATGTAACATGGAGCCTTTCATATCAAAATATTGGGGCTAAGAATGCGAAAACAGGTGAACATGGTAAGAACATAGCTGAGCCTCCCGAAGTACACATTCCACCAGTTTGTACCCGAGAAATAAAGCGAAATTACAACAAGGAATGTAGTTAAATGTTGGCATGAACTTTAGTCTCTCCATTTCATCCTTAGCCTTTATTCCCACACCATGAGGCAGACTAGTTGCGCAACTTCTAACTTTAATTGGACTTGGTTTAGACTGTTCATCGAATTACTAGGCTGGTATCCAGAGTTGTTTAGTTCTTTTGCAACATGAGCATTGGTCCTGTTCACTATTAATTCCTTTTACGCGCTCAGTTAATAAGAGTAATAATACAGCACACCGTGACTAATCATGGACGGCTTTTAAGCAGAGTGTCTTAAAAGACACTCATACTAGACCCAAGATCTCATTTTCTATTTTATAAATTTAAAATAATCATCATTTTAATGCAACTTACACTTAAGTGAAGCAAAATAAATATTCATTGAAAGGAATTACACGGGTTTGACCACGACAAAGAAATTCAAGGCGAAAGCATCGAGCGTCAGGGCGCTTTCCAAAAGTCAAAATTGGCCTTTGGACCATGGCCGAACCAGTCAAATAGCGGCTTTTTCCATGAGTCTTTTTCGTTGTGTGAAAAAACTACCTCCTTCGTGCATACTATCTAGGATAGTTTTGATTTAGATTCTCGTTAAGACGGGAATGGTCTGGCCGGTCAATTCTGGCAAATGGAGAGCGCCGTAAGTACCAATTCTAAGTATGTTAATTGCAGGTTTTGGAACTGTTTAACATTTTATTTATAAATAGTTTTTGGCGGCCTGGAGCAAATTTTTCCGAGGACACCTTAAAGCCCTATTGAGGAAAGGAAAATGGCGCCTGGCAAAGTGCTCTGCCTGTCCAATATCTTACCATATTTTGTTTTATTTCGATACATACGTTGACAGTGAACCAGTGCTTCCGGGCTCGGTGAGGTAATGGTCATGAAGATTGTGCGCTTTGTTCCGAGCGGGAACAAGCTTTGAAGTCCATTGAACTTAGCCCCAAAAACATAGATAGAAACTTTCCTGACAAAGTCGATTTATTCAAGATCCCAGAGGTAGACGAGCCGTTTGGAAAGAGAAAATTTTAAACTAAGTCTCTGGCCTGATCAGCAATCTGCATCAGTTTTGCTCTCGCTGAATAAACGTGACTCCAAACTACTTTTTGAGGCCAGAGACTCGTCACCGCCCACACCAAAGTTCGCAATGTGGTGTTCTTTCTTTTGAAGCCCGAGATCAGTGTTTCACCCGTTTCGCCAAAATGAGACGAAATACGGTAATTTATTGGACGACGGCAGACTGTCAGTCGTGAGACTTCTTCATCCTGAAGGCTTAAATGATGCCTTCCAGAAGACTTTGTCGCAGGCGGCCAACAAGAAATCTAGAAAATTAAACGACCAAGGAAAGCAACTTCTACCGCGCGCGCTGATTTCAAATTTGTAGTATCAGTTACGACGGAGAGAGAATTATGGGAAATGATAGGTAAGGGAGAGGGATATGGGCGGAAGGGGGGGGGGGAGTTGTGGGGAAAGATGTAAGCAGCATTTTTAGCAAGTTTGTTTGGCTACTGCGGCTTGTTAGGAATTTGTTTTTGTACTGAAAACATCATAACAAACAAACAAAAAAATAGGTCAAGTGCAGAACAAGCCTGAAATGAGACTGTTGCTAAAAAATCCTGGAGGTACCTTTTTGCGAATCCAGACAGATATATATCAAAAACAAAGAATGGAAATAAAACAAAAAATGCAATCAAGATTGATGGGCCGTTGCCATTCGCCGTCGGGAGAATTAGGGACAAAATTGATTCCTTCTTCATTTAACTTTAATTTTTAATTGTGTTGGTGTCTATGAGTGCCTTAAAGAGGGTCTCAATGGGGTGGTGGCTTTTACGGTTATCGGCTAAAATTTTGGCTCTTTTTAAGTTAAAAATTAAAGTTAAATATTAATTAACCTGTATTTTTTGTATCTTTATTGATCAAAATAACGGTCTTCGGATCATCTTGGGATGAAACAAGCTATTCTTTTGAAAAATTTCAAGATTTGATAGAACATACTTTTTATAAAGTATTTCACTTCTAATAATATTTTACACATAGAAATGTCAATAGTCAATTTAAAAATAATCTTTCTGAAAAAGCAAAAGCGGACACGCTAACGCCCAACTCAAGATGGGGGCGCGACATTCATTAGAACAGAAATGGCCGTTTTCACACTAGAGACGGATTATTCGTGTGAGACGGGTTATCCGTTTGATGATTCTTGTCAGATAGGTAATACTTCTTACTTTGAAAATGGAATAGTTTCAATTGTGAATGATAATCCGCCTGACTTTAGTCGTCAATTTTGACGGACAGTTTGAAGACCGGATCCGTATCAGTTCCAGATATCCTGTGTAGAGCCGCCCCCTCCCCCCAGAAAAAAATCGGAGAAGTGGTGTGTGTGGGGAGGGCGCGACTGTACACAGGCTAGTCTCAGACGGATAATCCATTTCTAGCTCTAGCGTGAAAACGGCCAATAACAAAATTCCCTTGTCCAGTGTTTTTAATGATAGCGAAGGACTGTAAGGAACGACTGTCTGCCGTTGCCTTGTCCGTAGGCCTCATTACTCCGTTCGGCTAATGCGTTTCGGGTCACGTGATCCTAGCGAGTCCGAAATGCCTTGACCAAGATTGCGTGGGAAGACGCCGCACAGGGACTAGGCATGGCAATGTCTACCGTGGCGTCACAGAAAAACAGAGAGATGTTGTTTATGGGCAACGTGTTTTACAAACAGTGACATCTCTGCGTGTTGTTTCACTGGTGTTTCGAGGGCACGACCTCCTGAAAATCGCAAATATTGATCCCCAGCAAGAAGCCACACTTTCGCTATGGAAAAAATTAGTTCCCCGAGAGAGTGGAGGAAATGGAGCCTAAGTCTTGGTCAACACCTAAAAGGCGCTTCGCCTAACGTGCGTACGGAGTCACACTAGCCCGGAAATAAAAAAACGCAACCATAAGTGTGTTTAGTACCTCCCTTAAAAGTAGCAAATCTAGGGAACAGTAGTTTACGGTTAACCTTTTTTTACTCTATTTACGGCTAACGGTTAAGAGTTTTCAATTTTTACGGCTATCGACGGCATTTTTGGCCGTTTTACGCAACCACCACGGGGTAGCTTTTGGCTCTGACGCTCTGAAAAAGTTATGAAAACGTTCAGTCAAAA